AGTCCTCCTTCAGTGCCCTGGGTGAGACGGGTTGTGAGGCGGCCAGGGAGCATTGGCAGCAGCTCCGTGCTCTCTCTCTGAGGGGCACAGCACACAGGGGGGACTTTTGGCTTTCTCTCTCATAGTAGGAGGGACGCACACTAACGATGACGTTCCCAGCAGCATTGTCCTCAGTCACAAAAAGTTGAAAAGAGCCCTCAACGTCATCACAAGCATCCTTTTTCATTGTTTTGTTTACCTTCTTGAATTTTAGTTATGTTTTTCTGTTTTTCAGCACATGAAACCCAGGATTGAGGACCCTATAGAGACCGCAAGCAGCATCAGGGTTTCTGGGGGTGCAGTGGGGGGTGTGTGCCAAAGGGACTGACGTCAAGTTCAAGAAGGAAGAGAATGTTTTGAAATTGATGGTGGTGGCAATTGGACAATACTGCTTGATGTGATTGAACTATGGACCGATCTAGCTTACTCCCAATAAAATGGTTCTGGAAAAACAAAACAAAACAAAAAACCTGATCGTCTAAACCAGGCGTCCTCAAACTACGGCCCGCGGGCCACAATCGGCCCTCTGAGGACATTTATCTGGCCTGCTGGGTGTTTTTGCCCCGTTTGTTTTTTTACTTCAAAATAAGATCTGTGTAGTGTGCATAGGAATTTGTTGTTGGTTTTTACTTTTAACTATGGTCTGGTCCTCCAACGGGTCTGAGGGACAGTGAACTGGCCCCGTTTAAAAAGTTTGAGGACCCCTGGTCTAAATGACCCTTCCTTGAATGAACGCTTGTTCATATTTGGATCCCAGGCTGCTTCTCTTCGCTCCTGATAATGTAATGTTCGAGAGATTGTGCTTCCTCTGCTGCCTCCATTTCCTCTGAGTTCCTTCTTGGACTCGCTTGAAAGCTTGTCCCAAACGTCCTGCCATCTTTGGCCTTCCTTTTAAGAGTAAGGCAGGATTGCGACGATCTGCCGATGTTTAATAAATGGCCCCGAAGTTTAGTGGTTGAAAACAAACACAATCCTTTGTTCATGATTCTATGACTTGGACACGGCTCGGCGGGGACACCTCCCCTGTGTGCCACTTGGAATGGTCTCCCCCCTGCTGCCCCTCCAACACTTGGCTTGTTCCAAGCCCCCTCAGTGGTTGGGCTCTGGATTGAATGCCAAAGTGAAGGAGGGTTGGGGGTGGGGATGTCCGGTCCATAGGCCCATGTGTAGGGAGTCACAATGTGACCTCTGTGATGAGGTCTCTGATATAACTGGGCTGCCACAAAAGACCCCCATTGGGCATCAGCTTCCTCCCAGAGTGCACCACAGGGCGCACCAGGTGTGATGTCTCCTTCAGTCTTCCGCTCAGGCTGGAGCAGTCACCTTTAGCGCTTAGCAGGTGAACAGACAGACAAGAGGTGAGATGCTGAAAAGAAGTGCAGTGGGGGAGGGGTGAACAAAGGGAGGTTTCTGGGGAGGAACGAAAGCTATAGGGATGGTAAAAGTCCTGGAAATGTCTGTGGCCCCCATCTCTCCTCCTCCTCAGTGCTAGCTGCCAAAGCCCATCTATTGCCTGCCAGGGACACCCTCGTCGGGGCCAGGCATGAAGATGCAATACGTGACGCTGGGCTTGCTGGCTGTCTGCGTGCTTTCACTGTGGCTGACCGCCTCTCTCTGGGACCTGGAGTCTAGCCAGGAAAATCTCCAGCAGATGGACAGAACACTCCCAGGGTTGTGCCCTTGCCCGATGATCCCTACCAAAAGGTGTGGCTGCCCGCCCGGGGGCCACAAGTGCTCCCCTTGTGTCCGCACACCTGGCCAGTCTGGTTGGTTTGACGGTCGGTTTGAAAGCGCCATTGACCCCCTGCAATCAGAAGCCTCCATGTCCTCTGACGCTCTGCTAATCTGGATGGTCAGTGCACTGTTTAGTCCCTGCTCGCAGTCCTAGTTCCCCCTTCACGGTTCTAGGGCCTAAGGTGACCAGACATCCCGCTTTTGGTGGGACAGTCCTGATTTTTGGCGTTTTAAAAACCCGATTTTTGGAAAGAATGCACAACAAGCTAGGGAATGGTCTATTTGGTCCATATAGACCAAATTTTTAATCAAGAGCCCCCACTCCCCACCCCCAGTCAATGGTGTCCGGCTTTAAATCTGGTCACCTTAGGCTCTGCCACAAAGAGTGGGCCCTGGACTAAAACACTTGAACTCTTCCCTCCTATGCTTCTAGGGTCTCCAGGTGAAGCCAGAGACAGAGGTCAAGGATAGCACGCAGCAGGAGCAGCTCAACATGCCGTCTTGCCGGACCTGTGCAGTTGTGGGGAATTCCTGGTTCCTACGGAACTCTGGCCTTGGCTACAGGATTAACCAACATAGCATGGTCCTCAGGTGAGGCCAGGGAACAAGGAAGATATTAGGAAGGTCAGGCCTGATCTTATTAAGTCAGCGGTTCTCAACCTGTGGTTTGAGACCTCTTTGGGGGTCAAATGACCCTTTGGGGGTCGAATGACCTTTTCACAGGGGTTGCCCGATTCATAATAGCAAAATGACAGTGATGAAGTAGCAATGAAAATAATGTTATGGTTGGAGGGGGGGTCGCCACAACATGAGGAACGGTATTAAAGAGTTGTGGCATTAGGAAGGTTCTAAGTGATCACCCTTTCTTTCTAAGGATGAACCAGGCCCCAGTTCAGGGTTTTGAGGAGGACGTGGGCAGCGTCACCACAATGCGCATTTTGTACCCCGAGGGCGCCAACCTTCAATATCATGGCACCCAGCTTCTGGTGCTCCCGCTAAATTCATCCGGCCTGGAGTGGTTCACGGCTCTGCTGAATAAAGACAACTTATTCTGGAAACCAAAAAACCCAGGGTATAGTAGTGAAGAGGGCCATTGTTGGGGGTGACGGCAGGGGACTCCAGGGTGACCCTTGTTGGATCGTGGACTGCCCAAGCTTGGGGGCTGCTGTGTCAGCTGACTCTGAAACACCTCTACTGTCAAACCATTTTTAGATTTCAGATAGTCCGGTTCCGTAATGGAAGCAGAGAGAGCAAAGACAAGGTGAGCCACTCACGGGAGGGGCAGACCGTGGCCCTGAGCCCGTCGTGGAACACGGCTTTATGTCCGTCCCTTCCCCAGGTCTTGGTGATCAGCCTCCTCTTCCTCAAGTACATCCAGGAAAAATGGCTGAAAAAACCGGGTCAGTGTCCATCCCTAGGGCTCATAGCTGTCCTCTATGCCTTGCACACCTGTGACCAGGTAAGACATCTTCTGCAACTTGCAAATCATCTCTGCCCCTGAAAATCTATCTTCCCAAGGACTTTGGCTTTCAAGGCTGAAAGATCTAGCTCCTTCCTCCCCTACTCTCCCCCAGGCTCTTACATGGTTTCTCTCGGCTTCCCCAAGCCCAATAGCCACCTCCTGTCTTCTCACATGCTGTTCCCTCTGCCTGCAATGCCCTTTCCTGGTCTCTTTCTTCAATATAAGGGGAACCTGGTTGATACTCTCTTTTCTGGGCTCCTTCTGTGAATCTATTAATCTCATCACGTCTAGTACCTTCTGTGAAGGTAAACCCTTCATTCACTCCTCTCAGTTCTGGGAGGCAGCCTGCCACACCAGACCCTGAGTGAATGGCTGATGGTACCGGGAGCGGGGCAAGATCCATTGCATGGCCATCTCCTGCCTTGTCTCACCTCACCAGGTCTCCCTGTTTGGTTTTGGGAGAGATAATCTCCACAGGTGGTCTCATTACTGGGATGACAGATATCAGCCCAAGATAACCACGCACAATTCTGAAGCCGAATACAATGTCATCCTTAAGCTACAGTGTGAAGGAAAGATTGTTATCTACAACTGAGACTGTCCCCAGCCTGTCTAGTCCTCTAGCGACCCCAGCAGGCTGACCAGTCGCCAAGGGGGACTTGGAGTGTCAAGGAGGGACTGGGCTTTAAGACTCTTGATGACGAATTCCCTGCTACTGAATAAAAGCCAATTTGTTGTCGTCACTGGATTTCGGGGGTGGTGGAGAGAGGGGATTAAGGACTGCACTTTATTCCAGGTTCCCAACAGCAAGAGTTCCTTAGCACCACGCCAAATGAAACAAAATCAAACCAAATGCAATAGTCTCACTTTTATTAGTTTGGAATGTTTTTGTAATTTGGAAATCAACCAGGATTTCTGATTTAAGGAGGACATAGCAAGCAGGTGTATTTATAACCTCCCTTGACTTTAAAGACCTCAATGAAATGATAGGCCACGCTCTGCTTTGAGGACAGTGCCAACTCTCGCTCTTCAGCCCCTCAGCTAGGTTCAATCCCGTAGGCCGCCACCACTGCGAGGCTGTGAGTGACAAGCTCTGCCGCAGTCCTCCTCCTGACTGGCTTGACTCATGGTTGGATTACAGGGGACCAGAGTCAGTTCCAGCAGAGATGTCCAGGAAGGGACACCTGAAGGACACTTTCCTACCCGAAAAGAAAAGGCCAGAGGCCAGAGAGATGCACTGAACACCAGAGACTCTGACTTTGGCCAAAGGTCAACTGGGTGCTTTCGAGGGCCCAGGTCCTGGTTTAAGGCAAGACATTTTGATGTTTCCTCATAAGTCATGAGTTCAAATCTAGATGCCAAGGCCCTTCGTAATCTTCCTTCCCATGTATCCAACCTCAGTCCAGGAGAAGTCCTCTGTTGCAGACAGATGAGTCTCCTCAGATACAGTTAGCCACCTCTCCTAACTCTTCTCCATCCTTCAAGGGCCACTTCGTGTCCTCCTTCCCTTGGGATTTCTACAGCACTTAGAGTTGGCGCACAGAGTGACCTTTGACTTATTAATGCCCTAGTTCATCAGGGTTGATTAGAATGCAAGTACTCAGTGGACAGGACTTTTGCCATAGTCCTTCTGCAGCTCTGCTCTAGCAGGGTACCCGAGACCCTCCAGACATTCATGCCGCCTGACAAACTCTTCTTCAGTCAGGGCCCGGGACGTGCTACTGCTGCCGCCCAGACGCAGGAGTCGAGAAGAGCAGCAAACAAATGCAAACTTGGGGTTTATTTTGAAGGGAAAAGGGAAAGGGAAGAGGAAGGGGTGTGTGAAACGTTGGATAGTAAATGCTAGGGGAGAGGCAGGACAAGACACTGCTCTGGGAGGCCCTGCAGGCTAGCAGGTGCATGGGATTCACTTCCTTCCCATGTGAGTTGGGCCTCTCTCCTAGACTCCTGCTCCCCTCTCTTCCCAACAATGTCAGCTGGCCAGCGACTCCCAGGTTAGGACCCTAGAGCCAAACTCTCTTCTTTGGCAAATCTGTAGCTGTGTGGCTGGCCCATGATCATCATTGGCTGCCGACCCATGGGTGATAAGGTTGGTCCTGCCCTGGCTGTGGCTGCTACCTGGAGATGGCTTGGGCAGCACCAGGGCTGGGGCTCGGATGTAGCAGAACAGGCCCTGGGGATGTCAGGCTTTGGGACAGGGATTCGTCCAGCTTTCGGGTCTCGGCCTCAAGGACAGTGGCCTCTGGGGCCTGGGCCACTGCGAGGAGTGAGTGGGAGAGGTTGTGGTGTAGACCAGCCAGCTCTCGGCTGGTCTGCACCGAGCGAGCAATATAATCCTGCTTCTGCTTCCGCTCCAGGGCCAGCTGGGCTCGTAACAGGGCCACCTGGTGGGAGAAGGACCAAGAGGGAGGGGAGCTTAGCTTGAGGGCCTCCACATTACCCCTCTCGCTACCGTGGGCTCTGGGGCCAGCATTTGGTTCAACTCTGCCTCTTACACACGTCAGAGTTGGGCTTTTTGGGGAAAAAGACTGCTAGGAATCAGAGCGAGAACTCAGTGACTCTCAATCCTGGCTACCCCAAGACGCAGATGGGATGCGAAGACAGACAAAAACTGAAAACAACAGTCATCAACTCTGCTGAGGCGTAATTTATAGGTAATAGAATACCCCGACTCTAAGTGCAGGTAGTCTCTGACTTAAGATATATCTGGAAAAAAAAAAATCTGAGTGATGACAAACTGCACTTCGTTGCAACAGACCCCCCACCCTAAGTTAGAGACCACCTGTACGCACCACGTGGAAGCGGTATGTATGTATATAATGTTTCCAACTCCCACAGACAAATCAGGGTCAGATTTACAAAGGTGCTAATAAAGAGCAATAATTAAAAAAAAAATCCCTAAAAAAACAAAAATTTTTAAAAAATCCACTTACAAGTACAGCAGAACCGACTGAGGATGGGCCATTGGAATGGAACCCTGTTGTAAATTGGGGACCATCTGTATACATCTTAATAAGTTCGATGACTACGTTAGCACCATCCCCATCACGATGGGGAACATTTTAACTGCCACTGAAAGGCCCAGCATGTCTCTTTGGGAGCTTCGTTAGGTTGGGATGAGGCCTGGACATCCAGATGTGTTTTCAAAGCTTGCCGGGAGGAGCCAGGGCTGAGTCTAGCCATTCTTCACAGGGTAAATGGAGAACTGTCCAAATAGGTTATTGGGCCTCTACAGCCGGCCTGGGACTGGGGAGCACAACTGAAGGTGACACGCTGGCCCGTAAGCGAGTGCTCCTGAATGTGTGCTCAAGGCGACCCTCTTACTTCTCTCTAGTCTTGGTCCTGTCCCAGGGATTGCTTTTCACGAGCTTAAGAGTCCAAAGTAGTAACACACTCACTGCCATCGAGTCAATGCCAACTCTCACCGCCTGACAGGACAGGGTAGAACTGCCCCTGTAGGTTTCTGAGACTGTAACTCTTTGTGGGAGCGGAAAGCCTCCTCTTCCTCCTGAGGAGCTGGCTGGTGGTTTTGAACTGCTAACTTTTTGGATCACGGCCAATGCATAACTACTGTGCCACCAGAGCTCCTGTAAGTAATAATCTAAGTCCCAGTGATAGTCCGGGGCCTGCCCAGGAGTAACTACTGATGTCAGGGCAAGGTTCAGAAACCGAGGTGCCACAGCTCCAGTTACCCCTGGGTGCAGACTTAGAGAAGGGCCGGCCAGTGCAGCCACATGCAGCATGGACTGGCTTTGCTGCTGTGCTGGCAACAGCCTTGCTTGTAAGGGTGCCTTTGGAGCAGAGGCGGCCATCCTAATCCTGGGCCTTTTAGGCTGCCTTCTTCACATTTCTGTCTGCACCCACCCTCTCCTTTCCCTTTCCCTCTCTAAGTAGGAATCTGAAGGCCTGGGGCCAAGATCATGTTTTCTTCCCCAGTTCCCTTGGAGTTGGGACCACTCTTTTGACTCATCACAGACTGAATTTCTCCGAAGGCAGGCCCCAGTCCCGCCCTCCACCAGCCCCCCTCCCCGGAGCCAGACAAAGGGCCCAGCAGATGCAGCCACCAAAGCCCTGTGGCTCGAGTGCAGGGGAGGCTACGAGGGACCCAGAAAGTGGATTCTTTAGCATGTACCTCTCGCTGCAGTTCAGGCCGATGCTGGGCATCCGAGGGGTCTGTCTGTCCCGTTCCATTCTGCGGAAGACATGCCATTCCCATGGGAACAGGCTTTCCCATGCTGGAGTGTTGGCTGGCATCCGCCAGCTAGCTCATTGCAATTCAGGGGGCGAGGGGGTTATCAGACTGAACCTCCGTGGAGCACAGGGTTCTGGGGTGAGGAGAGGCCCCGGAGGGCCTATGCTTCTTTGAGCCCCTTCTTCATTCCGCGGACATCACCGCGTCAGCCCTGACTCAACGGAGGCGCCTTCGTTTTGTTTCATACCGGGCATTTTTTGGGTCATGTTGTGAGCTGAGCGTGTTGTGACGTCAGACAAGGTGCCTGCCCTCAGGGGCTCTCACTTAAAGGAGCGGATAATGAGGTGGGAGATGTGCTGCAATGAGAAACAGCCCCCACCCACCCCTTACCTACGCCCGCACTGTAGGGCCGTGGATACTGATGGGTTTAAGAGGCTTTTCCCCGAACCCTTGAAGAGAGGACCCTGGCCTAGGGAAATACCACAGCCCTTGGTTTTATAGACTCAGTCAGTATTTCCAGGGGCAAGGAGATTGAAGCGAGTCGCCATGCAACACCTCGGCACATGAGGGGCTGTAAGGTACCACACACCACCTGAAGCGTCGGGGCCTCTGCCCAGAAGCCCAGGGGGCCCTGTGTCTAGGGAGCCAAGGCACTGCTGGTGACCAGGGGAGCAGATTAGATGTCATGAAGGCTTTCTGATTTCCACAGGAGGCAGGGCTGCTAGCCTGAAGCCCACCCCCACCTGCTGAAGCTGGGTCTCCTCCCTGGGCCCAGTCAGGAAGGGCTCTCTGGATGGTTGGCCCAAGGGACACAGGGCAGAGGGTTGGGTTTCTGAGGTCAAGGGTTCCTGGGGCAGAGTGGCAAACCTGCTGGGAAGGTGGTGGTGCCGTGCCTTCGCTGACTCCCAGGACCCCTGCCCGGGTCACACGCATGGAGTCCCTCTTCAGCTTCCTCCGCTCCCGCTCCACCTGCCCAGATGCCAGTGGGAAGTTAGGGCTTGCTTTGTCTTTGTGGCTGGAGCTGAGCTGTCTTTCTCAAGAGACCGGGCCAGCGTGTGGGTGAGAGGGACTGGGACAGGGTGGCAGATGCGTGAACCTACCCTCCTGGACTGAGGAGAGGCTCCCGAAAGAGCAGCCTCATGTGCCAAGAGGTGCTCTGGGGTGGAGGTCCTCTCGGGGTAGGGCTCAGCCTCTCAGGATCAAGTGTGGAAAGGGCAGCAGGCCTTTGCTATACTAAGTATCATCAGCCTCTGTGTCACTCCAACTCCGCTATTGTAGCAGGAAAACAGCCCAGATCACATGGGCATGCTGTATCCCCAGAAAACAGCACTTCCCAGGACAAGGGGTGGTGATTGGGCCTGTGGCCTGGAGTCTGCGGACTCCTGCTCTACAGGGTGCACGAGCAGTGGCCATGCCTGCCCACTCCTTGAGGGAGGAAGGGACTGGGGATGAGGAAGTGGCTCACCTGCTCCAAGGTGGCCCGCAGCTGGGCATTGTGGTGCTGCAGCTGGCCCCGGTCAATCTCCAGTCGCGCCACCGCTTGCTGTAGGTGCTCGAGCCTCTGCCTCTGTGTCTCCTCCAAGTCCTCCTTGGAGACCTGTGGGAGGCTGGGTCTCACCTGGCAGCCCCTCGGGGAGGTTGGAACAGAGAAGGAGACGCAGGGACCAATCCCCAGGCCTGGGCTTTAAGGCTACAGCTCCCAAATGAAAGGGGACAAATTTGGGAGAACTCCTTCCTGGTCCTCTGTCCCCACAAGGCCCCAACTCACCACGCCTGGCTGCCTGGCCGGCTCCCCTGTGGGTCCCCGCTTCTTCCCTAGAGCCTGCCTGGTGAGATCCTACTCAGCCTGTGGCATTGAGGGCTGGGGGCAAAACCTCAGAGCTGGGACCTCCCCCCCCCACGTCCTCCATCCCCATGGAAGCCAGTTCACTTGTACCAAGGTAGTCTGGTTTCCCCAGGGCCTTCGAGCTATACCAGCCCAGCATCTTCATTTGGCAGATGGATAAAACAAAGGGTCAGAGAGGGCCCCTGCCCAGGGCTATGTTGTCAGCTGGGGTTGGACGCTCAGGCTGTTTATCCGCCCCTTCAAGCTCAGTGGTCATTAGGTGCTCTGAGGGGAGAGCATGGGCTCAGGAGTCACTCAGACCCGTGTGTTACATCACCACTTACTGGCTAGGCCACCTCGGTGAATGAAGCTAGGTGCTCTCACCAGACCCTGATGCCATTTGTACAAAGACGACACGCGCCCTGGAGCCTGGGTCAAGTCTTGAGGGGTTACAGTCATCAGGTAAACAGAGGAAGCTAATGCTATAGATTTTCTAGGCACCCTGCGTGTCAGACATGGGGACAAGCTGAAAGACTGGCCAAAGAGCGGGCGTGTGCTTTGTGAGTGGGTGGTGTTGGGGAGAGGAGAAGAGCTAAGGGGGAAGACAGGTGGGCTCTGGACTCTGACTGCTGAAGTCTCCCTTCCAGTCCTGCCGTCTGTCTGCCAGCTGAACAGCCTGGGCCAATTACTTCTCCAAGTCTCCATTCCTCCACCGTAAAATGAGGAAGACACCAAGTCCTACTTTGCAGGCT